CTTTCCCCGGAAATTTTTTCGGGGGGCCCCGGAGGGCTTTTTCCCCCATTTTTCCCCGGACTTGCCCCCCCTTGGACGGGGGGTTGAGGGTTTTGGGCCCAACCCCCCCAAGGGTGGGGGTTTCCGTTTTGAATTTCCCGGGGGCGCCGGGGGTTCTTGGTGCCCCGGAGGGGGCGGTTTTGTTCCGAACCCCCCCCCCCCTTCCCAACCCCCAAAAGATTTTGGCGCCCCGGATTGGACCCTTTTCCCGCCCCCTGCCCTGGTTTTCCCACCAGGGCGCGCCCCGCCAAACCTTTCGGTTCCTCTTCCACTTCTTCTTCTGAATACCCGGGGTGCCTTTCTCGCGCGGGGGGTTCTTTCATGGGTGTATGCGGGGATATGTATATACATGGGGAACGGGGGCCAACCACCAATGGGGGGGGGGGGGGGGGGGGGGGGGGGGTGATGACATTCGCGTAGGAGCCTGGTTAGGCGGCAAGCGTAGCACATGCGCTGACATCTAGAGAGAAACTGGGGGAAAGCAGAGCGAGATAATCGCCACCTGATTCGATCAGCGAAACGATCAGGTGTTTTTCGCGTAGGAGACCCTCAAGGGCGGATAGATCACACACTCGGCTTGAGCAGCGGTTGTATGGAGTATCAAAGGAGAGAGTCATATCAAGGTGCCAGACATGCTCTTAGTCGTTGCACGGCGTGTGGTCTTCCTAGGTGTTGTTGTCGGTCTTGCATGCAGAACGAGGTTCGATGTGTGTGCTGGGGAGCAAATACTCTCCCAACACAAACTCACAGCTTGACAATCCAATTACAATCAAGGGTGGTTTGTGACACAGGTGTGGCCGGCTTTTCTCGTTCTACCGACGGTATTGTCGAAGTGATCGGTAGCTAAATACACCTTAGCCAACACAGACGGTTGAACGACCCGCTACTAAGTACTTCGAAGTGTCAGCACGCTGCCCAAATCAGGGAGTGTTCCCTCCATAGTTCCTGAATGGTACTCTGCGGCATGCACAATTGCTGGAAAACCATAGAAGCCCGCGAAAGAGGCAACGGTGGACAAGTTTTTGGGAGTGATCAGCGCAACATGCGTTCTAGTCCTTCCCCCGGCTGGGCACACGGTCCGCAGGTTATGACATCACAGGTCAGTGATCTCTGACCAAAAGAGCCATGCTCCGAGTAGGCTATCATACATCCAAACCGAAGGCCGCTCGACGGTCGGTTTTCATCACAAGTTTCAAAGTACTATGCGCACTCCTTACCTTGGCGAAACCTGCCCCCACGCCCTGGTACGTGCTGGCGTAGCTCGGCTGTCGGATGAGGTTCTGCGCCGCGTCCGCTCCCCCCGTCCCTTGAAGCCACTGCTGCTGGAGCGCCCCGCCGGCCCCGCCGCCCGGCTTGGCCGGCGCCAACGTGGAGTTCGCCTGAAAAAAGGCGTACTGTAACGCCTGGCTGGCGGTCGGTCGCCGGTAAGGGTCGAACTGGATGAGGTCCGAGAGCAGGGCCAGGGCCTCGAAGCTAGCGTTGGGGATGAGCTGCGCCAAGGGGGTTGGCACGAACGGGGGGTACCGGAACTGCATCTGCGCCGCCAGCTTGAGGCCCTCGGGCCACGTCTCCGCGGTCGGCGTGCCCAACACGGAGCAGATCTTGTACACCTGGTCGGCCTCGCTCGTGCCCGGGAACAGGGCTCCCAGGGCAAAGAGCTCCGCCATGATGCACCCGCACGCCCACGTGTCTATGGGCGAGTTGTAGTGCGTGGACCGCATGAGGACCTCTGGCGCCCGGTACCACCTTGTCGACACGTACTCTGTGTAGGGTGGGCGCGAGCGGGTTTCTCGCGCCAGGCCGAAGTCGGCCACCTTGACGGTGTCGCCCTGAGAGAAGAACGCGCGGCGTTTTAATAACAACTACAGCAGCGGTGGCGTAACGCTGATTGGACACAAGGTGGGCTGAGGCTTTCTGGGTTTCTAGCAAAGCTTCGAGCCACGAGGCCCGGGGAAAGTGTTCTGTTGTAGGTAAGGACTTGGTGTGGTTGGCACAAAAATTAGTGGAGGACTCTCTCCTTGTGAGATTGCAAGTGACCGATAGCTGGCCATAACTGATTGTTTCTTCACGTCGTACTTTTGGCGCACACATATTAATAGTGTCGCCTCTGCCGCTGCGCTCTTCGAAACCGCATCCAAAAACCATATGGTACATGTTTGGTGGTGCACGCAGACAGTGGCAGTAGAAGGGTGCCTGGGGAGCAGGGGTGGTCGTGCTCAGCGCAGCAGCATCTCTTGCGCGTTGTATCGTGAAACGGCACATTCTTCACGCGCTTATTGCAAGCAACCAGTTGTTTGTTTTTTTCCCTTGCCTTGATGAGCGTGTTCTCTGGCTTGATGTCGCGGTGGAAGAAGCCGTGCTTGTGCATGAAGGCAATCGCCTGCATCATCTGGAACATGATGTTGCGGATCTTGGGCTCCGGGAAACTTCGACCTCGCTGGAGAAAACATTAACATTGCGAGGCATACAAGGGAGTCAAACGGCGACAGAAGCACACCGTTGTGCGCACTGCTGTCTGCCGTGAGCTGCACATCGCTTGCCTATCTATACAACCGCCGCTGTGCCAGGAAACAATCGGTTCGACAAAGCACAGGGTGTAGAACTACATGCTTGCCGTCACACATTCCAGTTTCACTCGTCGGCTGCCCAACCTGCACTGTCAACGCAATCGCCCTTCCACGTGCGCTTCTGCACCCTTTCAATAAAAATTGTCCCGTTTGATTGTCCAAAACTGGACAAGAAAAAAGCACCAGCACACAGCTTGCAGGCGGAGTCTCTCTAAGACGCATGGAGTGGCACGATGCGAGCGTCTTTCCATCAAACTTTGGCACGGGCATGAGCAACAACGCAATTGCTGGTTGGTGCATGTAGCACTATATAACGTTTGTTTCCCGGTTAAGTCAATGGTCAGGACAAGGTGTTGATGTACTCTCGGGGGCTCTCCCTCTGTAGTTGCGTGCTCACGTCCTGCATGAGCTCGAAGAGGTTTCCTTCCATGAACTCGAACACGAAGAATAGCTCGTCGTTCTCTCGGATAACCTCCTTCAGCTTGACGATGTTGGGGTGGCTCAGCTTCTTCAAGGACTTCACCTCTCGAAGCTGCATGCATTCTTCCCAGCTGCACAGCGGTAAACGCGCAAAAGAGAACCACAAGAAGACCGTCTTGAGTGGCGAGGCCATGGTGAACACGCGTTGGGGGGAACTTTGACCTCCTATGCAGGCAGGAGTCCGGCTACAAAGTCTCCTTGCACATGCTGGACGCCCTACTAAATATGTGTAATGAAGGAAAAAGACAACGGTTTTACAAGGAAGGGAATTTTTCCAGCGCCAAGGCCAACGGTAGCGTAGGATACGGCCGCAAGACAAGACCCGCAGCCCCGCAGCCCCGCAACACGGCAGCAAGCACACGACTGACTGTTCCTTGACCACTATTTTTCATTTCGTTTGTTGTGGATCAGCTCTCCTCGACGACAACAACCCTCTCCTTCGACATCACTAGGTATGTAGGCGATTCCCCGGTCCCGTGAGCGACATGTTGAGTTCAGTCGCCCAACAGCAGTACGTCCACATGTCTCCGAATCTGTACAAGAGATCGGGATAGTTTTTTCGCCTCAAGACAACTGCAAAACAACCAACGTAGTACTGTAGAATTGTAGAATTGTAGAAGACCCGGGGACACTGCCTTCGTTTGGTGACAAGAATCCTTGAGCAGAACTAACTAACGATGGTCTGTCGTTATCACACACAAGTGAACTTCACATTGCAGGAGACAATCCTGAATACACAAGCAGAAGACCGGCTCCCTGATCTGACAACAGCAGCGTGAACTGGCCAAGTCCCTGTAGCATCCTCTAGCTTGACCACACTACTGCTGTAGAATTCAAACTCATGCCTTTGACATTTCATCGACATATGCATACGCCAGGAGATTATCAACGTAGGAGTCATTCCGTGTACAGTATGGGGTCCGGATTCATGATCTAGACATCAGCTTCCATGCATACTGCTGCTGTACATCGCGTTCACAAGGTTGAACTTGCAGTATCTCGACGACACATGGCAAAGGCAACACGTTTCGAAGTACAACATACTTTCTTGCTGCACAATTGACTTTCGACATTGCGGTTGGCAACAAGCGGCCGGCTGTACATGTAGGTCACGCCCCCCCCGGCCACTTTGTACCTCTTGGTGCTGCTCATTCGAGGGCACGTCAGTCATTTACCATGTATGTGTAGACTACAGAGGGTGCAGACGTGGTAGGATTAGAATGTGTAACAGAGGGTGTTGTTCTTGCTGCGCACAGACTAAATCACGACCAATTGCTACACGGACGGCAATACACCATGATGACCCCCAACGGCCAGCCAGGGTGCGCTCGGCTCAGTAACGCATCGGCTAAGAAATGCATGGATCCAATGCACTTGTCTAACAATCACCGGCTTTTTTTTTTCCATTTTCGTTGCTGTCTCGTTTGTAGAGATGAGAGCAACAACTACGTGCGGAGAAACCGCAACAACAACAAAAAGCTACTACAATACTGCTGTAGATACTGCTGCAGTATCGCGGGGCAGACCCGAGGGATTGCATGCGGTCCGCGTACGATGCCGTCCTATGATATGATATGTCCGTATGTCCTCCACAAACGCTTTGAACGTCCCATGAAAGGGAACAACAATCGTCCGCACACACGCTCATACCAATCATACAACACAAGAGAGAGGCAGGCCACTTCAGACGACATACAGCTTACCTCGTAAACAACTTCTTCATCTTTTTCACGGCGACTTCTTCGCCGGTTTGTCGGTTCACCGCCTTCACCACTGACCCATAAGTGCCATCACCCAGCTTCTTCGTCAGCGCATAGCGATTCATACCCCGAGAGAAGATCAAGGCCGTACCAGACCCCTCCGACCAACGACTCGGGAAACGAAGCAGCCAAAGGGTCACTCCAACCAAAAACACCTCGCAGCTCGCTAGGCGGAGGAAAAAAAAAAGTTGTGATCCAAAGAACGCTTCCCACTGGAAACCCAGTGAAAAGGCGGCGGAATTACTGTATGAATGTAGGAATCGTAGATAGCCGACCGACAACAGACCTTGACGCCTAGCTCCGGCGATCGAGGGCGAAGGAGAGCTGAAGCCGTCCGTTTTCCCAGAGAGGTGTGTAAATAGGATGTCGGGATGTCGGGGCTTGACAGGGTTGGTCAACATTGCATCGCGCATGGTACAGGGTGGACCAATCGGAACTTACCGAGAGAGAGCTTACCCAATCAAGCATGACACAGCTCCCAGTATCTAATGTAGCGAGCTTCGAGCGTCCCAGCCTCAAACGCGAGGCTGGTGTGTTACAGTCTGCTGTCGCTGGTAGCAGCCGTTTTGTTCTATTTTCAACCTGTCCCTGAAGCTTTGAGACGGTACAACGTGCAAAACCAATCATGGGGTGCTCAAAGTTCAAATATCTCTCCCGGCATGTTGCAAACAGACGTCCGCTCGGCTGTGTACGCCATCCTCTCACAGGATATTCTACGAAGTTCCGAATTCATGTGGTAAGCTGTGGTTCTTGGCGGTCGTGAAAAGTTTCAGGCAATTCGATAGCCGGAAGGGCAAGTATGCTAACATTCATGTTCAAAATCTTAATTTTTTGCAGTGCTCGGTGGGCCAGCTGAACTCTACAAGCTACAGCAGTGAGTCAAACAAGCGTTCCAGAGACAGACAGGGATGTCTTCTACGTAATGCTTTTTTTTTCAGTCCGTCCTGCTCTCAGATGAACGCATGGTCGTACAGAATTTCAATATTGATCACGCTGCTGTAGATGTTAGGCGGCAATTGAAGAGCTCACAGTAAGGGTGCTTCTTATCGACCAATAAAACACGAAAAAAAAAACGAAACCGTGTTTTCTTGAACACATATGGAGGCGTTTTTCCCCGAAAGCGCGAAAAGAAGGAGCCGGGTTTTTTGGGGGCTTGCTACTTAAACGAATCCGTGTTTTTGACAGAAGCATCGGGCAAGCGCACCGCGGGCGCTGTAACATCACTGAGAACGCTAGAAAGACCTGCCAGACTCACGTTCAGGTCTGTTGTGGAGATGGACAAGCGGCAGAAGCGGCGTTCAGTCCGTTCTTGGCCCAAAACTAGGCATTGCGTGGTGCTCTCGTCTTCAACTGCTGCTGTTGGTGCTGTTTTTTTTTTCAATCACACATAGCAAACACGGAAACAGTAGAACGAGTACAGCAGCAGCACCAAGACCTCCAACGCGCTGATTCCTTCTGTTCGGCTGTCTATATGATACCATCTCCCGGCGCCGTGCTGCTTCGTGGGTATTGGGTGCTTGGATGCTGCTCAATAAAGTGTGTGAGAGACGTGTGCCACCTCACCAAAATGCCGTTGGAAAAAATGCGGCGAGATGATCTGTTTTTGGTCGGACGCATCAACATCAATCCAAGGCACCACGCAGCAGTAGAGCAACAGGGCCTCCGACACGCAAATTCTTTCGGATTGGCCATCTATATTATGCTGGCCGTCAGCGCGGCTGCCGCCCTATGATTGTTGAGCTCGTCTACCTTTGGGCAGGTGGTGGTCAAAGATGGGAGTCGCAACCGTGAAAAATGAGCTGGCAAACTGAAGAAATCGCAAGCAACACCCAGGTGGCGACACTCTGCCCTGCGTCTGTTGTTGCTGAAAACTGAAAACAGCAGGCCAGGTGGACGGGATCTTTCTAAGTGTGTTGTCCTCTGTGTCGGGTGCTGCTTATTGCGCTTTCACCGCTGCTCTATGGTGAGCAATACCATGTCAACCTGATGTGTGTCGAGCAAAACGTGTATTCAGGGAAGGAAACGAACTCTTCGCGATGACATCACGATTAGAACAAGGGAAAAATAATCGGATCTTCTTTTCACCGTTCCGTGAAAAAAAGCGTTTTTTTTCGTTGCGTTAACAATAACCCTAAGCAATACGCGCTTTGTGACCTGTACGGCGTGTAGACTAACCGTTGTTTCAACCATTTATTCATGCTGCCTTTCTCAGGGTTCATATAGATCGGGTGCTTAGCTTATAGATCGAACTACAGCCAGCTGAGGCGCAGGAAATCAGCGGGGAACGGGGGGCTCGTGGGTTGAACAGCCTGCCAGCTCAGCGCAGTTGGTTACGCCACGGTGTCGCTTCGACAACCGCCTGTAAGCCCCCGGTACGCCCCGCAGCGGAGCTTCAACGCCAGCTACCGTCCTTTCTACTCATCTGCAATCCTCGCGAGCTCCATGTTCTCCGGTGATGGAAAGCAGGGGAGGAGTCGTCGCGGGGGCACGTCAACGGTGCAGGAAGAAGACAGAGGCCGTGGTAGACCGGAGGCACCGAGGTACCTGCGCCAAGCGTCACCACAAACCGCTATACGAGAGATCCCGGTCTACGTGTTGGGCGGACGGGAGGAAGGGCGGGGTCGGGCAGGAAACGAAGGGGGACGCCCTCCGTTAGTGTTGGGGAGGCTCTCCCAGATTTTGAAGGGAAGGCCACAGATGAGGATTACAACAAGCTGCACGGCGAGGTGATGAGTCAGGCGGTGGCCCAGTAGAGATCGCGAGATTGCCGAAAATCAACGGCGAGAGTCGGAGACTGGGAGCATGCGCACGCTTGATTGTCGGCGTAGGAGTGGCGGTGGAGAGCTTGGAAAAGCTGTAGTTCTCCTCCAAGCAAGCGGAACGCGGATGAGACGTTCTGCTCGGAAGTGTTACCTGTAGCCTGAAGCCTTCTCAGCAGGATATTACGAAGGAAATCATGCAGACCCACGTCATGCGGCTGGCCGATGAGGCCCTATGTTCTACATGCCACAGGTCTTTGGGTGACAGCAGTTTCACGCACCTCCGCGGGGGACCCGTTAGTGCGAGCAATAGCCTTCGTGGTCTCGTGGGGCAAAGAATGGGGAAGTCTGCCCCCGACGCTCGTGCGAACCCTTTCAATGGTTAGGCCCTGCAGCGACAGCCTCTGCCCACGTCCGGACTGTTTGCACTTTTGGAAGACCGTATGAGAGAGCTACGCGTTTGCGGTCATTGCGGTCATTGCGGGCACTGGATCTTGGGCAGCAGCAACAAGGGGTGGTATCCCATGGATGCTGCAGGTGAAACCCGGTCGCAAGAGGACGATGAGTAGCATGTCGATGTGTTGTCAGAGCCTGCAGGACAACGAAGTCATGAGGCACTTGCGGGAGGGCCTCCAAGAGACGGTGCTGGATACAGAGTTTAACGGTATGGGTGGGGCATCAATCCAACTGGGAGCGTGGAGCGACGCGGATGATCTCACTGCACAGGAATGCGTGCTGTGGCTGCCTGAGTATGGTTACGTCGGCCCAGCAGAAATGCAGCCACGCTGACGTACGCTTGCGGAAAATGCAGCGGTAAGGGGAGAATATGCCCCCTCGCTTGCGGCTACAGAAATCGTCATAATCTGGGTCGGACGTCCGCATCCGCGAGAGTGGACGGGAGGGCGTTCGTCCCAGCCTGTGATGAGTACTCCTGCATCCGGGCGAACGGAGGGTACAACCTAATCCTCAATATTCGTCCATCCCCATCCCCATTTGTGCCAGCGCCATGGCACTCTTGCCTACAGGAAGCAGCAGAAACCACGAGCAGCGGAACAGAACGACGCGGGGCCGGGGAACCCCTAGTCGAACGTGACCAACGGCGTTTTGGCCGGTGATGACGCGGTTTCGCCTGACGTGGTGCCAGAAGCCCATTTTTGACCAGCGGCGGCACGATGTACGAACAATTAGTCTGTCCAAATGTCATTTGGATGGGGGGCTGGTGGGATGGCAGGCGGGCGGGCATCACCATCAAGTTCAGCAATTTGGCCATGATTTATTTTCTTTCTCCATATACCCAAGCGAACTGCCACGAAATTGTTGGAACGAAGGCGCTACATGCCTGCATCGTATTACTGCTGTATGTATGGTGTTATATTGTCCTTTGGTGCGTTTAGGTTAGGTGATGTGATTGACTGCTGTATAGTGGTGCGGTCAACGCAGCAGCAGTCCCGGTTTGGCTATCTAGCTACCTATTTGTTAGGTGTTCTTCACGTTGCCTCTCGATTGTTGATATTGCCTCTCGATTTTCTGAGACCCTTCGGCGATCACCGCCGGAGGTGGCCGTTGCCCTCTTTCTTGGACATGTGCTTGTCCTGTTTGACCTCGTGTGCAACGACCCGGAGAATTAACGGTTGGTTGTTGTCGTTGTTATTGTAAGAAAAGTGTACGTATAGAGAACGATAATCTATGTGCAAATAAATAATTCAGTATCTAGATTGTCTTGTAGCTATTGTCTGCACAAAGTCACGAGAAGACTGCTGTGGGACAAACACAAGAAGACAACGAAAGCCGTCAGATACAGATAAATCCAGGCAATGCATGTCCCGTCTGAAAAACGCACAGACAGCTAGCTACCCAATGCGGCATTCCACGGCGTTCGGAAGAACTCGACCTGTGCGTCATCTTGCACCATACTTCAACATGCTGCAGAGCCATACGCATACGACCGTGAAGAAGACCAAACAGCAATAAAACATGTTCTATCATAGGCATTATGTAGTCTACCGTATGTTGCTTGCCGCGTGCAGGGCTATGTATTTATAAATGCCCTGCTGTGCAAGTTTTCAAATTCAAATATTTGAAAGTTAGACTACAATAATAATGATCGTGGTTGTCAATCGATCCGCCCCTCCTATCACCTTCTCTCTCTGCACTAATGTTCAGTTCAAAACCTTCAAGCCACACTCCCAGCGGTTCTCTTCGTCTTCTCTTCAAACTTTGCGCAAGACTGATCTCACTGCTGTAAGCGTGTTCTCTCCTAGGATGTTGTTCTTCCGTGTTCACTGACAGCAGTGTTGACGTGTTGACATATGGTTGTTACACCGCACACCACGCACTTCAGCAGCAGCAGGTGATGCGTACGTACTTTACAGCATTCCAGACATGGAGGTGCAGAAATTGTAGGTTGTAGGTGTGCCACTAAGCTAGCTGAGATTGCGCTGGCAAATTGCAGCCCCAAACCCCGCTGCTGATTTGAGAACCTACTGCTGTATCTTACCGCCGCAGACTTGGGTGTGGACCTCTGTTTATCTCTCGGGATCGTTCTCCGCTTTTTTTTTTTTCTTCTGGCAGCGTCCGTGTCTGTCTGCAATTGCATCCCATTGGTCAGCCTTCAACACTCGCTCGCAACAATCCAGCAGCTTTTCGGGGTGTCGCAGGTCACAGGAGAGCCTCGATTTGTATCAGCTCGCTTTGAGGTAACTGGTAACTGGAGGTGCAACACACGACAGGGGGGAAGGCAGGAAACAAGCGAGTTCCGAGTGGCTGGACACATAGCAGAGAGATGGTGTCGCCTTGGGTCGTCGCGTCGGTTGGGGCGCTGTCTGTTGGAGGTGCTGGGGCTTTCCACGTGCCTGCGCTGCCATCAGCGAGAGCTACGGCTGCGGCCAACAGACATGTTTCGCGCATGTCTACTGCAGACGACAAGCCCAAGAGCTTCTATCCCTTCCAAAGAAGCGACGCACCTTCAACCAGGTGTGGCTTACCAGCAGGGCTCTGCTTTTCATGTGCAGCATTGCTGCACGGGAACCGTGAATTGCCTTGATCGGTGGGTCTTTGCTCGTCATCGTGCGGCCTAAAACGTGAACATGTGTCGATCACCTGAAGCGTGAGTCCGGGAAGCGTGGCCTTGTGCCCAGTTGTGAGCGCTTTCCCCGAATACGCACCACCGGTAATTCTTTCGCGGAATCCGGACATGCGTTTGGCATTGCAGAAGCATTCGTATCGTGTATCGATTGATTTGCTTGTGGCTCTACAGCGTGTGTATGAGTGTCTCCCGCCACAGCGGGATGTAGACTTACTGCGGTGTCTGTTGCAGACAGCGAACCACTTTTAGAATAGGGGGCGCGTGCTACACAGCATATGCACGTCGCCCATGACCTCAGCATGTATCCTTTTCACGTTCACCGTGTAGTTCACGCAGTCTATGCCCCTCTACTCTGCATTTGGATGCAGCTCAATGCATACCTTAACTTGAATCTCCTTGACCTGTGTGCCGCCTGTTGATCCCGCCACTTGATCCCGCCGAAAAGGCCTGGCTCAATCCCGCGCCTGGAAGCTGGAGTCACGCCCACCCCCGAGACCAAAGGAGGAACGAAGGAGGGAGAGGGCGCGGGTGGCGCCTTCCGGCAGCTAGTTGGCCTCAAGGGTGCGACACGCGTTGAATATTATGCATATCTAGTCGTGGAGAGGGATAGGGACACATATCATACCCACGGGGACAACACAGGGTACATCCCAAGTAACCTTGGCTCAACGTGCCAGTATTTACTGATACATGCGTAGTGGTGAAGTGGTGCAAATCCACTGGATGGCTGTTGTGTAAGGGGTTCTTGCCAACCCCGATCAGTTTGAAGTCTGAATCCCAGACATTAGGAGGCCGAAAACTTGAAAACGACCTTCCGGCTTGCGGAGTCCCAACTTGAACACCGTGTATGACACAAGATAACACACCCCCTGTACCGATTTTCAAAGCTCGATTTCTCAACAGCAGAAAGACTTGCAGCGCCAAAAATGGCGGCGTTGAAGCCGTCTTGTTGGAGAGATTTCCGAAAATGTATCGTTTCGTTTATGCGTCCTCTTGGTGGCGTAATCGACCTTTGAAAAGCAGTACGGGGGTGTTTTATCTTGTGTCGTATGTACAAGTATACGGTATCTAAATTCCCCGTTGGTTGCATGAGATACCACACCTCCAGAACCGATTTTCATATGCTATGTAGCACGAGTACTCCACGACGAAGAGAATGCCAACACCAAACGACACGATTTCGGAAAGCTCTGGACGAGATGGCTATGGCTCCAACGCCACGATTTTGGGCATGGCCTTTGTTTTTGCTGCGAGAGCGATGGAGCTTTGAAATCGCCATGGGGTGTGATGTCTTACGCAACCCACTGTCCACAGCTTGCATCAGAGGAGAACATGATGGAGCAGTGACATCCGCGCTGGCACGCCTAGATCTGTTGCCGGGGCCGTGCTGTCGAACGCTGCAGCTCGTGTCCGAACAGTCCGCAGATCTTGGTCCATAGGATTCACGATCCACGTGCTGTACGTGCCGTCACAGTCCACAGCAGCAGCATGTAGCTCACACACGCCGGCTTTTGGACGACTCCCAGATTTTCGGAATTGTCGGATCACAGCTACAGCCTTCCAAACCACAGCCCCAGCAACAGATCTGGGCGTTCCAACGCTCGCGACGCTGCTTCACAATATCGCTTGTGCGATTTCTGGTACTCTTGCGTTTGTTTTCAAAATTAGTCAACGTCAAAATTCTTTGTCCGCAGACCCTTGAAGTTGGGACTCATTTGAACACCCGCCATGTCGCCTGTGTTGTCTCTAATTTAGACTGGTGAAATGTTGCGCGTGGGCGTAGACTCTGTGGTGCGACGGTGGAGACAGTCCCCTACCGCTTCTCTGCGCCACAACGAACTAATTTTTGGTTGCGCAACGTATTCCACATAGTGTCTCGTTTTGTGAGTGCTGGGTGCTGACTCGGTTGTTTCCAACAACGGGAAAATCAAGATCGTTTAACAACAATCCATTGTTATATGCCTCGTTCGTGTGTGTTTGAATCTCATTGCTTTCAGGTGCCTCCACAACCGACGAGATATTAAAGATTCGGCTACAGCTTACGAAGCCGGTAACGTGGATACCTCTCATCTGGGGAGTCCTCTGCGGCGCAGCTGCTTCAGGTGGGTCCATGGCAACGCGGAAGCACAAAGCGCAGGTTGTTCGAATTAATTCCCTCATGACCTCCTCCAAGCAATGCGTTGCGTCACAGGGACGCCGGTGTTGAGGGCAGCGGCTAGGGATTGTTTGCGGACGCACGGCTCGACAAGCCGTGGAGAGATGGATACTCATGATGATAGCAACAGCTTGGTTTACGATTCGACCGCCTCATGAGATTTGTTTGTTCCATTTGCAGGCAACTACCACTGGTGGAACCCATTCGGAGGAGGGGACGTGAGCTTTGACCTTGGCTCCCAGGACCTATTGAAGGCGCTTGGATGCATGATTCTGTCCGGACCCTTCCTGACGGGATACACGCAGGTAAGTCTGGTGAATCCACTTCACAAGACGCGTTTGCCTGCCTTCGTTGAACGCATGTTTATCTTGTGAAGTGGAATGAAATATCAAAGGGAATAAATTGTATACCACTGTAGAGGCCGCATGGTTGTATTCTAGGCTGACTGGGAAAACGCTCCTGCAGTGACCTTCACAAGGTGCGTTGAACGCGCTGTGTACGTTCTGTATGACCCGCTCCCAGTTGCGGTTGCCTCCTCCTTGCCTACGCTCGGTACTACGCTACAGATTCACGCGGGTTTTTCTATGCCAAGCAAGCACCAACGCTCTTAGACCCTCCCTTCGCGATATAGCGAGGATCATGAGGATCGAAGCAGGCCATACCTTCTCTCTCTGGGGTGCAAAGAATGAACCTGTTGACACCAATGCATGTCTGAGACGATCTGTTGCCCTCGCCCGATGTTTTTCGCATCTTTTCGCGCAGACCATTAACGATTGGTACGACAGGGATATCGATGCAATCAACGAGCCGTACCGCCCTATCCCATCGGGAGCCATCTCAGAGGTCAGTAAATAGTTTCTTTTTGGCGGAGTAACTTTCTTGCGGTGTTAGATCAGGCTTCTTCGGGCTTTGCCCTATTTACGCGTCACCACCCCACCTGTCGTGGATCTACTTCTTTGAATCTGAATGCTATTGTACATACACATGCTCCTCGTGACCTGGCGAATCAATCCACTGGATGGATGGATGTGGATCTCCTTGTGCCTAGGGGCGGGTGCATTCTTGTGGGGTGAGCGTCGTGGCTGCAAGCAGCCGTGCCAAAGCACCGGCTCGTCGAAACCCGATCCGTCGCCACAAACGACTCCGCGTGCCCCAACCAATGAAAATCTCACCAACAGTCGTTTTTTTTTTTGCTATCCCGCAACAGAAACAAGTGATCGAGCAAATCTGGTTTTTGCTTCTGGGCGGGCTCGCGATCGCGTACGGTCTTGACGTGTGGGCCGGCCACGACTTCCCCATGGTATTCGCTCTCTCCGTGGGAGGGTCCTTCATCTCGTACATCTACTCGGCGCCGCCGATCAAGCTGAAGCAGAACGGTTGGTTGGGCAACTACGCCCTCGGGTCGTCTTACATCTCGCTGCCGTGGTGGTGCGGGCAGGCTATGTTTGGGGAGCTAAACATCCAGGCGAGAGCTCACCTAGACTTATCGAACGTGTCTGCCGGGTGAAGCGCAGCAGTTGCTTCGGTGGAGTGTGCAGGCTGTTCGCTGCGAAAGCGTGTGACATGTTTTGTGGATGATTGGTGTGCTTCTTGACGTTTTATGTCGCGTGAAACGGGCGAAGCTGTTTTTGGTGGCTTGGGCGCTGTCTCTTGGCGTCTTGCCGCTGCTGGTGGCTACTTGTGATGTTTTTCTATCGTATCGCGTGCGATTTGTGCTGTGGTTACTTTTTATCTTTTTGTGTAGCAGTCGCGTTCTTGTGTACCACTCCATGACTCGTGTACAATGTGCGCCAGCCTAAAGCGCTGACATTGTTGGACAACAACTGCTGTACCTTCCCGTTCGGTTGTAACCGTAACCGAAACCTCCCGACGATGCACCCTCCGACCCGATTTCGATTCCAGGTGGTTATCCTCACCCTCTTGTACTCGTGGGCGGGCCTTGGAATCGCGATCGTGAACGATTTCAAGAGCGTGGAGGGTGACAGGGAGATGGGTCTCCAGTCTCTTCCCGTGGCGTTTGGGGTGGAGAAGGCCAAGTGGTTGTGCGTGGGCTCCATCGACGCCACGCAGCTGGGCATCGCTGCGTGGCTGTACTATATCGGGGAGCCGACGTACGCGGCCATCCTGACCGCGCTCGTGTTGCCGCAAGTGTTCGCGCAGTTCAAGTACTTCTTGCCCGATCCCGTCGGGAATGACGTCAAGTAAGTGTGACCACGTCAAGCTCTCGGGCCTGGTGTACAGTAGTATCTCTTAGCCATGAGGGGCTCACAAGCCGCCCCAGAACAGACTCGCAGCCGCGCGACAAACGTGATTTCTTGGCCTCGCGCCACAGAGTACGACGTGCTGGGCGTCGACATGATGTAGGTGGAGGTTGCGAACATGTTGGCTCAAGGGGTTGATGTAGAAGGCACACGTCTTTTCTGCGGTTGTGTTGGATCTCTATCAGTCCACCCTCGTCGAGATGCTCTAGAAGTACGGAGTAGAAGATCAGGATTGATCATTTAGGTAACATGTTTTCTCTCTCCCCTCCCTCCCTTGTTGGCCCCTCATCCATCCGTGTTGTTGCGTTGCAGGTACCAGGCGACGGCCCAGCCCTTCCTGGTGTTCGGCATCCTCACGACCGCTTTGGCCATGGGACATCACACCTTCTAGAGACAGACTGCTGGAGATAGCACAGGCCAACTAGTAGACCGTAGAGTTGGCGCGGCTATTCTGTTCGTTTGTTTTCAGTTTGGTTGTTCGCGTCACCTGCTACTGGTTTCTGGAGTTTGAATGAACGAACCCTGGCTTGATACAGCTAAGGGCTGTATTTGTCGCCATCTGCAGTATTCGAGTATCAGAATATTGTAGATATTGCACGTAATTTTTCTAGCCAGTACTTGTTCTCGCTGACGTTCTTCCTGTTTTTTGTTTGTTTTATTTCACGTGGGTTGAGTTTTTGTGCGCCGCTGACTACCGCTCCTCGCGAAGATGAACATACACCGTGGACATTTCGCAGACAAGTTCCGTTGTGCAGTTGGTGCTTTGGCGTGGTTGGTTGACATTGATTTTTGAGGGAAACAGCATGGAGATTGGTTCATGGAGACTGGTTCTTCTGTGCAATAGAAACCTTCGCAACGATGACTGCACAAGAGTACTCGTCGTACTGTGCCCGTCGGTGCCGTATGGCACGGTAGAATAAATTGCACGATACACGCACAGAACTGTCATCATGTGCTTACCATGGACATGCCAAGTAGACATGAAAGGGCGGCAGTTCAAAAGAACACTATCCCTGGCGGTCACTGCCTTTGCGACTAGTGTCATTCTGAAGCTGAAAGTTGTCGAAGTGGCAGTCAGCCCTGTGGGCACTCATTCCGATACCCCCCCCGTGCGGCCGGCCGAGACGTACTGACATAACCGATCATGAGCCAACCTGAAGCCCTTGCATTGATTTCGATTTTTATGTTCTCTTGAGACTATGATACTGCTGTTGTACAGAATCGGCTACCCGATCTCGAAAGAAAAAACACTCCATATATATACTCCCTCCCGGTTCCCAAGCTCTAGCTTGGGTCTCAGTCGATCAAAAGTCTTTTTTTTCCGTCTGTGGAGTTTTCAGTAGCATAGCGGACCCCTTGCCCGACCGGGTCGAAAAGGCCGATCTCAGCCCACACTGCGAACCTCCGAGAACTACCAGCAGTTCTGGGTAGCTGAGACGATTTCAAGACCTCTCACAGTCGTTTGAGCATCTATCGCTTGCTGTGGGGCGATAACCAGTTTCTCCGTCGACAAGAAGATCTGCGTTACATCGTCACATCGGAACGACCAGATTGGTTGACTTGTCGTTGAGGGTCCTCTTTTTATAGATCTTTTTGTATAAGAGTCGTCTTCATTTTTTTCGCCGCCCGCGCCAACCCTTCTTTTTTACAGATCTATTTATATAGAGTCGTCTTCTTTTTTTCGCCGCCCGCCCCAAGCCTTGCTTGCTTCTCTCGTGTCCCGCGCCAAGCCTTGCTTGCTGGCTACGCTTCTCTCGAGATGCTGACCGACCTCAGCACACAGCTGGACATTCTGTGTACATACAGCAGGAGCTGCTTTTGTTCTGTTGTTGCAGCTTTCTGCATGGATGGCTCTTTTGTGGTGCGAAAATTAGCATTTATTGTTGTTGTTGATGTGCGGACGAGAGGACGAGAGTGGTAGGCAAAAGCAGTACGTACCTGCAAATCTCCGGCAACTACCAGCAGTTCTGGGTAGCTGAGACGATTTCAAGACCTCTCACAGTCGTTTGAGCAGCTATCGCTCGCTGTGGGGCGATAACCAGTGATTTTGTGATTTTCTTCCTTAGTCTATAGTGACCGTTGTACACATGCGGTGGCTGCTGTTATGCTCGGAAGATGCTGCAAAGGTCATAAGGTTATCGTCTCTGTCGCTTGGGCTGCACGCCGTGGAGATGCGCATTCCTCATTTTTTCTCTGTGCCGATATCCATGAAGAAAAGCAACGGCAGCACGGTTGAAGATACAGACAACAGACGGTCCGCCATACCCTTTTTTTTTTCTTCCCTTACATGCATGGATGGGTGGTAAAGCATCGCAAGCGTGTTGCTGCCTTACTTACCTTTAGTGTGCTGCGTAGTCGTAATTTGAGCGATAAGGGGTAGATGGCAGGACAACAATCTTATTTGCGTAGTGAGGTTTGACAACTGGTCGTTCGTGGAACGGTGCGCGTCTATCGCGACGGCAAGCGTATTGAGAAAATAGTTCGTCCGTGGTGCTTCTCGTCATCATTTTCTATTTCGTTGTCACTTCATACTTCATACCACAAGTGATGAAAGAGAGTCTCCACAGTTAGTTCGGAAACGGCGACTATATTTGGTTTGTTGCGTTTGTTGTTGCTGAGCACACATCGGATGTCGTCGTTCGTTACAGCCTGCGGTGGGCCACAGGGACGAGAGTGAGTGTCTTCGGTTAGGGTCTCGAGAGTTAATTAATGCCTTCTCTACGCTTTCTTCTGTTGATCTACGTAGTAGTAGCACCTGTCTCTCCTTTCTCGCCTATTATCGCCGTTGGGGTCCCAACAACATCGAACGTCAACCGCAATCGTTTTTCTTCTTGCTGAGTAAGAGGCTATTTGTGTAGTACGTACCCGGCTGCTGTATGTGAGGCGATGGGCGCTGCCTCTTTACTTGAAGCAACGGGGGCATGGCCCCTATAATGTTTGCTGCATGCTGTGCTATGTGACAGCTTCCAGCGGTTCAGAGCGGCGACGGTGGTTTTCGTATGCTCTCTTTTGCCACCTCCCTGAAGCCTGTCGCGTCTGGCTCACTTGTCTTTGTCGTCCCTTCTTCTTTTTCTTTTTTTTCTTAACATAGTCTATATTTTATTTTTCCGCTTGCTTTTTGGGGTCCGCCGGTCATCCGCCCACCACCCATTAGTTCAGTTTTAAATGTTGTTGTTGTTGTTGTTGTTGTTGTCTTCGCATTAAAAACCGTTCAGATCTCTCTCTACCCAGTACCTTCATATGTGCGTACTGATCCAACACTTGACGCGGTCGATTCCCGTGGTCACAGGCTAACTTACCCTAAAGAGGTACGCTAAAACAAACTGGCCCCGAAAGGTCCGCAAGTCAATAAAAATCAACGACAGATATTCTTTGGAACGGGGTGTTTACTTGCCATCTCTATGCAAGTTTCACAATTAATTTTGAAGCTTTTCTGAAGCTAGTTGAAACAGTAGTGTCATCGTTCGATATCCGTTCGGTGAGGAATCAATCGCAAATCATGACCCGTCCCCGAGTTGTAGCAGCTTCCGCCTCCTGGGGCCGGCAAGAGTCGGCCTTCACTGCTGTACCTTGTCTGTTTCGCCATGGGAATGGCCGGTTCAAAGCGAAAGAGGGTCCTGCGTGCTGCGCGCCACCACCTTTTTTTTTTGCGTTTGTTTGTTGTTGTGATTTTCTTCCTGAGTGACCGTTGTTGTACACAACATGCGGCTGCTGCTGTACACATACTTGCGGTTGCTGCAGTATATGCTCGGAATGTGCTGAAAAGAAAGGTCGTAAGGTTATCGTCTCTGTTTGTTTGGGCTGCACGCGTTGCTCGCGTAGGCGATGCGCGTCTCCTACTTTTTTCCAGTGTCGTTGTCGGCAGCACAGTCAGTTGAAGAGACAAACAACAACAGACGGTCCGCCTTGTTTTGTTTTGCTGCATGCATGGTTGGTATGCATCGGCACGCGTGTTGCTTCCTTGCCTTGAGTCTGCTGCGTAGTCGTAATTTGAGCGATAGGTAAGCTAGATGGCAGCACAATCTTAGATACTACGTAGTGAGGTATGATAACCAACAGCTCGTTCGTGCAGCGGTGCGCATCTATGGCGGACGGCAAGCGTATTGCGATAATAGTTCGTCCGTGGTGCTATGTAGTCGTGCTCTTTTTAGTTCTCACTTCCTACAACAAGATAGTAGTCCACAGCTCGCACACGGCGACTGACTATATTTGTTTGTTGTTGTGCTTGTTTGCTGTTGCTGAGCCGACATCGGATATCGCCGTTCGATACACAACGTGACATCATGTCTGACAGCCTGCGGCGGGCCAGAGGGACGAGAGTGAGTGTCTTCTCGACAGAGTCAATGCCTTCTCTTCTCGAGAGAGTCAATGCCTTCTCTTCTCGAGAGAGTCAATGCCTTGTCTTCTCTCCGCTCTCTTATTTTTGTCTACCTCTCTTTCTCTCTCTCTCGCCTTTCGCCGGTAGGGTCCCAACAACATCGAACGTCAACCAACCGCAGTCGTTTCGCTTTTTGCTGAGTAAGAGGCTACCCGTGCATCCGGCTGCTGCATGTGAAGCGATGGGCGTTATGCCAAGCAATGGACTTGGGCCCTACCTAATATTTGCTCCATATGTAGTGCTATGTGAGAGTTTCCAGCGGTCCGGAGCGAGCGGCGACGGTGCTTTTCTTCTATGCGCTCTTTTGCCTCCTCCCTGAAGCCTGTCGCGTCTGACTCGTTTGTTCTCGCTTCTTTCTTTCTTTTGTTTTTCATGCTTTTGTTTTTTGGGGTCCCCCGGTTCCTGTGTGCTCATCGGGCATCTTCTTGGTGTCTACCTTGATTGTTACCCGCTGCAAAAATCGAAAGCTTCAGACAGGCAACGCGACGATACTCGTCGAGATGCCATACACAATGAATTCATTGCTAATCTGTCTCAGACTCTTTTCTATGATGGAGATGGATTCGTTGTGTCATATTAAGAAGAATAAACATAAAAAAACATCCCTGTCGTTACTCTATCGATACCTCACACCCACCCCTACTCACGCCGACGCAGACACAGACAGGCAGACTCAGCTCTTTCGCCTGTGCTGTATCTGTTGTTCGTGCGTGCTGAAAAATGGTACATACAGCAGCAGCTTACAGCAGCAGGAGCTGCTTTTTGCTTGTTTGTACAGCTTTTCCTGCAGGGATGGCTCTTGTTGTGCGGCAAGTTGCATTGTTTGTTGTTGATGCGGACGAGAGGACGAGAGTGAGTGGTAGGCAAAAGCAGTACGTACCGTGTTAAAGGGACAGACAGAGTGCCTACCGTGTGTATGTAGACGTTGCATTTCGTGATTCCCGAGGATCGGATGTATGTGTTGTTTTTTTATTGCGTACCCGCGTCCATCACGACCATTATTGCGTAGTGTGTCGGCTAATTAAGGTCCTTCCCGTTCGTGGTGTCAGCACACGCGCAACACGCGACTAAAATAAAAATATAAAGCTTGGGACTAGCAACGCCGACGATATTCGTCGGCTTGCTTTCAACAATCTATATATACCCTCCTAAGTCTATCAGGTAGGTACACAGCAAATGCGAAGTAAACCACAGCCGATTTCACTTCGAAAAAGGCCATCTCTTGGCAAGGTGACGCAACAACTCTAGGCAGCCGTGTTCCCGAAGAACAGCCTGACTGACTGGAAGATATCGCGCCCCACGCACGTGCCGAAAGTTCGAATCCTGCCCGCAGCTCACCGACGACATAGAAGCAGCGTCGTTTACGTCGAAGGTGCCGAGGTCTACACAACACCACCCACCACCCACCTCCTCCTTCACGACCACTATTTACCTTCATCATCAACCAACGACAAAAATAAGATCATGCGATAAAGACTTGCCTCCGTATGCATCTACCTGCCTTTCCATCCAATTCCCAACAATATTTGGCTTTTTTTGTGCATCTGGAGCACCACAGCCAATCAAATACTAAAAAATAAAAGTTGTTCTCGCTTTCAGCGGCGATGCCCCATCTCAACGTCTGTCTATCTGGGTCTGTCGAGTCGCTTGCGACCAACACAAAAAGAGAGCTCAAAAGAGATAAACCAGCCGGCATGCAAAAACTAAGCTATATCTAGACTCCTGTCGTCTACTTTCCCACCAACCCTCCAAAGCACCCAATTAATTCCTTCGAGAAACTTGGGGGTGTTGTTGACCCTTGGTCCTCTTCCACTTAGATAGGACATCGCATACGACCGTTCGAGTGTTGTAGGAGACAGTTAGTTGCTGCCACGCAGACAGGGCATTCGGACTTCCAACGAACCGTCCGTGTGGACATGCACAACTCCTCACAAAATCAACAATAAAAATAAACGATCACTCACTCGGGCCAGCGAGATCGTGTAGCCGATGCTGGCCTTGCCTGCGCTCTTAATGAACCACAACAAAATCTACTGCCTCTTGCACATGGGAACGGGGAAAAACGTGCACGAGGT